CAGGTAGCTCAGTTGGTTTGAGCAACGTTCTGATACCCAAGGTTGAGGGTTCCATCCCTAGTCGGCATACATACAAGAATGGGCAAACCACTAAATACATAAATAAGTGTAACAACAAACCAATCTCTCTCTCTCCCCCTTGAAAATAAAAATATAAAAATAAAAAGAAAAATTATTAGCTCAAAAATCCGGTTAAAAGCATGTCTAATGGTGTAAAGACATCTTCCAAAAAAATATATACAAATGACCAATAGAAGTATTAAAACAAAAAACAACAAAAAAAAAAACGCCTTTCATCGCTTATCAAGGTGGAATCCATTAGGCTCCCTGCAAGACCAGAACCACAAATCCTTTCCTAGGAGGGTGCAGTAGAGCAGGTTTTGGGGTTGCTCCGTGACACCCTCCAGCGACTCACTGTCCCTGACACAGGGGCCTGGACCACAGGAGGTGAGAGGCGCCTGGAACCTGGGGCGAGCACTCGCCTCAGCCAGTGCGCGGGCCATAGAATTGTTGTCAGAGCAGGGCGCGAGCGGCCCAGCGGTGGGCGAGGTGTGGACACCCTGGATCTTAGGGCGCGGGTCACCCAGGCAGCGTCGCTGAGCTTCCCGGAGCCTGAGATACGCGCCTGTGCATTAGGACTCCCCTGCCTTCTCGCTCCTGCATCTCTACCTCCACTGAGTGACCTGGAGCCACTGACCAGGTCTTGAGGAAAGACAAAATACCGGCCAGGCTGAGGACGCAAGACTGGCCGTTATGCTTTGTACCCAAGTGGAAACGCCTTCTGTGAGCCGTCAGTGGCCTAACATGAGCATGGAGGTAAGCCCTCCCCACCCCGCCTTCTGAGTTAAGACTTCTACAGTCCAAAGCGGGATCTGGCATTTCCCCAGCTGACGCCAGGGCAAAGGGCAGTCCCCACCAGCACTAGCGCCCAGAAACTGAGTCTCTGCCTGAGACATTTTGAAAAAGGCCTGAAAAGTGCGTTTATCAGGTTCTTCCTCCCTTTGATGTACAGAACGCACTTTAGGGTAAACAAATATAAATTAAAACTTCTTCTCTTTGCAAATGATTTGTGTAATAAATTCAGGTGTCCTGATAAAATTAGGTAGAATATGGACATGTCTCAACAGTACATAAAATAATAGATTCTACCAATGATCATCAACCAATTACTTTAACCAAATACCTTCAAGGACATCTGGCACAATAGATAAAAATCCTGTAGAGAAACATATTGGATGAAAAATCCTGATTAACAGTTGTAATGGAGGTTGACTTGGGCCAGTGGATTTATAAAAATGGACCTCAATGCTAAGTCTCCAGTTTGTCTACTTGAGGAGAAAGCACCCACAGAGAAATGTAGAGGCAAGGAGAACAAAAGTTTATTGGAAATACAGTACACTTTGGACAAAGGAAATGCACACCCTACTAGGAATGAGTGGTGGGATGGAGTAAGGGGTTGGGATATTCATCTAGGTTTGTTTCTGTTACCAGTGAGTTTGGGTTCTTGTCTCCTGATATCAAACAATTTAATACAGGACACTAGTAGAAGCAAAAACAGGTTTATTGAAGCTCTGCAAAGGGCAAAAAACACTGAGATAGTCCCTGACATTCTGTGCCCTATAAGGCTTAGGGAACACAGGTGTTGGGGTTTGCGGCATCACTTCAGATATGAAAAATAAAATTAAATGAAGTTTAGAGTAGTTCCTAGACCATTGTTTTTTAGCTTCCTATTCATAACTGCCATAGTTCTGGCAGGTCTTGACTCCATGAGCAATTTTGGGAAACATTTTATTGTTTCATTTTTGCCGAGAGATTTTGTACTCACAATTAGATTAGTGGACAGAGATCTCTTCTTCTGTAGCTTCATCCTGTAGAAAAATGAAGGAAATTGGCCTAAATGAGAAAAAAACTTTAAAAAAAATTTTAGTTTTATTGTAACAATGAAACTTGTACACTTTTAACGTTTAAAATAGTATCAGCCCTGGCAAATGCGGTTTAGTTGGTTGGAGCCTCTTCCCATAACTGAAAGGTTGTAGGCTTGACCCCTGGCCCAGGAGTGGGCGCATGTAACCAACACCCGGTCTGGATGCACATGATCCCATCTGGGTGCTTGCAGGAAACCATCAGTTGATGCTTCTCTCTTGCATCAATGTCTCTCTCTCCATTCCTCTCTCCCTAAAAGCAATGAAGAAAAAAAAAAAAGTCCTCAGATGAGGATAAAAATAAACAAACTGAGGGTCATCTTTCCTTTATAGTGAAACAAAAAGAAATGTAAAAAATAAACAGGAATAAAACTAAAATAGAAAATTGTCAATTCCAAATAAAATCCTACAGATTTCTGATTCTCTTATCCAGTGGCTGGGCCCAAATCACTGTATTAATTAGGAAGATGCCTGGGAAGCACTGGTGACAAATGTCTCCTCAGAGATGTGACCTGACTCCTTTTTAGAAGTGTGAACACAAAGGGGCCACATACTAAATCTGACAAGCTCAGGTGGGGCTTGAGCTTTATTAACTGAGTCCTAAAGTAACCACAAAGGATTGTCTGAAATTGATACGTATTAACTAAAAGCAGTTTATGGTAGGTAGTCATGTCTTAGGATAGAATCTTCCCCCACAGAGGTCCACCTTCACCTTAAGCCTGTGTACTGTCTTTTTCCATCTATGAGAACATACCTTTGGAAGGTGAAAAAAACTTGCCTTTTCCAGACTCTTCAAAGCACAGATACTGCACCAAAGTGGAGACCACAAATCTCATTGTTAATTGTTGACTGTTAACTATGCTCTACCCACCCATGTAAAAAAAGTTTGTCATTTTACTTTTTATCCAGTCAGAGTTTCTGCCACTTCCCTAATCTATCACTAATGGATTTCGCGTAACCCACTTACATCTTCTGATTGTAATGTATAAAAGCAAGGTGCAGAATTGCCATTCTCTGGAGCATTTTCTCAAGGGCTTACTGCATTTTTAAATGACTCAACGTCTTTAAATAATGGAAAAATGTTAACAGAGCAGGTTCAAAGTGTTCATTAATTTGTGCAGAGGACAAAAATTTAAAAATATTGGGATACATTATTCCAATATAAAAAAATTCTATATAGAAAAAGGCACAAAATGAGTGAAATTCCAGCATGTATCTTTGTTTCCCTGTCCTTTTGTTAAACAGCCAAAATTCATAGATTAGGTAGAACATATTATCAGACATTTTACCACACATACAGAGATAGCAAATACACATCTGAAACAAGGTGCACCATAAATTCTCAGGGAAATGTAACCAAACAGTGAGGTAGCATGACAAAATTTTTAAAAGGTTGACATAAAGAACAGTTGGCTAAATCAAATATTCTCTAGGATGTGTAGGTATTGGATCCCTCATACAATGCTGGAAGAATGCAAAAAAGGTAAAATCTGTTTAGATCACGACTTGCTAATTTAAGTTAACCATTTACCTACTCCACGACTCAGACTGGGCACTGAGTTATTGACAAAAGGAAACATATATCCACATAAAGAATTATACACAAATGTTTGTCCCAGCTTTATTTTCAATAGTCAAAAATTAGAAATAATCCAATGTCCATGAACAAATAAATGGATAAACTAATGGTGATACATTCAGAGTATTTCTCAGAAAATGATGTGCTAATAATACATCATTAAATACATCTCCAAGTATTTATGCAACATAAATGAAAGCAGAAAAAAATACTGTGATTCCCATAATATAAATTCTAGAAGATGCAAAGTTACCCATTAAAATAAAGTAAATTAATGGTTACTTGGAGAGCTGTGAAGGGCAAGGAGAGAGATTTTTAAGATATGAAGTAGCTCTGGCTGGTGTGGCTCAGCGGATTGAGTGCTGACCTGAGAACCAAAAGGTCAACAGTTCGATTCCCGGTCAGGGCACATGCCTGGGTTACAGGCCAGGCCCCTACTTGGGAGCATGTGAGTGGCAACCAATCGGTGTTTCTCTCCCTCTTTCTCCTACCCTTTCCCTCACTAAAAATAAATAAATAAAATCTTTAAAAAAAAAATATATGAAGTAAATACATAGTGACAGATATGGTCAGTATTATGACTGTGGTGGTTTCATTTGAATACATAGGTCAAACTTCATCAGATACTATACTTGAAATATATCATTTACTACATGTGTATTATAACATACTAAAGCTTTTAAAAAATTGCTTGAGATAAAAAAGAAAATTGTATATTCAACTCTTTTTAAAAAATAGATTTGGCAACTATATTCAATCTATGTGCTCATGCCCTCTAGGGGTCAGTCTTGCCTTAGTGACAGTACATAGAGCAAACAATGAAAGAATATAGCAAATCAGGAATGCTGGCTGGGTTGCAAAAGCCACATACATCCCTAGGCTATACATACTCCTTTTATTTATCTTTGATTTCCTGCCTGGGCACCAAATGTCTTGAGGTGAACATCTGAGACCCTACAGAAATTCACAAAATCTTTTATTTTCAATGAAAATGACTTGGGCCACAGAAGATAAACATTGGGAGGTCATCAGATTTGTGAACTCACCAATCCTGCTGCCTTTTTCACACACATTTCTTGACACATGTTTAGAAGAGGCACATTCCATCTAGTTGGCAGCAGTCTCCTCTAATCCTTATTAGACTGGTAAGTAACCATGACTCTAGCAACCATGACTTCCCTCAACTTCTATTGTCCTACATTCAAGTGACTACCTACCTATGGTATTGTAGACAACAGGGCACATGGTTCATTAGAAGACCTCTGAAAGTGATTCCCTTCAAAAGTACTGACACACCCTGTGAACCAGGTATAAATTCATACTGCTCGAAGAACTTGAGGCTGTCACACCTGCTCCTCCTCAGGTTGACTTTTGAGTCTCCTCAAACTTATAGGATCCTGGCTTCACATGACCAGGAAGCCCTGCAATCTTTCCTAGGAGGGTGTGGGCAGTAATGCAAATTTGGTAAAAAATGGTAACCTAATTTCTTCCACCACATTATCCACTATGAGGCAGAGAAATTTTGAGACCCCCATAAAGGTTGTTCACTTTTTCATGCCTGTAGAGCCCAAATCTGCTCATAAACCCCAGACAGTAAATACAACACCCAAGATTAAAGGGCACTTAAACAATAAAACATACATTATTTTACAAACCAAAGGGACATGGACCTGGCAGTTCTTGCATTGGTGACTTCCAACACTGAAAATATTCATCACAGGTCCCTGAGGAAAACAGTCCTTCCCAAGCTGCCAGATGAACTCAGATGAAGTTTTCTGTGGTCAGCAATGGGTCAGGTCCATGCTTCAACTAGTCAAAGTGAAGGAAATGCGGATCTCCAAAGGGCTGAGGCTACTCCTAATTTCCTCCAACAAATCAGAGACCAGTTAGCTTCCCTTAGGACATTAGGACAGTGGCTGATGAAAACTGTGGGGATCTGCAAGGTGGTACAGGTAAAATAGCTTCAACCAGAGAAATTCTGAGTGACATAAATCTGCATGTGATCGGTGTAAATTCAAAAGTGCAACACAGATATACATGGTTCCCACATAACAAGAACTTATGGGGAATCTCCCTACAGTTGATGTTTGGATTCATGAGATTACATTCAGACAAACAGGGCCTCAGAGTTTCCTCCCGTGTTGTTAACACTGAAAAAACAAAAAACAAACAAAAACCCTGTACATTTTATATACATCTAAGGCCTTCCTCCATTGTGAACTCTCATGTGCTGAGAAAGGTTAGATTTTCTGCTAAAAGATTTGCCACATTCACTGCAATCATAAGGCCTTTCTCCTGTGTGAACTCTCTGATGATAATGGAGTGTGGAACGAGAAGTAAAAGATTTCCCACATTCACTGCATTCATATGGCCTTTCTCCTGTGTGAACTCTCTGGTGAATAATGAGGTGAATTCTTTGGGTAAAGGACTTCCCACATTCACTGCACTCATGGGGCCTTTCTCCTGTGTGAACTCTTCGGTGTCTAATAAGGATTGAGCTATTTGTAAAGGATTTATCACATTCATTGCACTTGTAAGGCCTTTCTCCTGTGTGTACTCTCTGATGATAACCAAGGGCAGAGACAGAAGTAAAAGATTTTCCACATTCATTACACTCATAAGGCCTTTCTCCAGTATGAACTCTCCTGTGTTTAGAGAGATAAGAATTCTGGCTAAAGGACCTCCCACAATCAGCACATTCATAAGGTTTTTCTCCAGTGTGAACTCTCTGATGTTGATTCAACTGGGAACTATCCCTGAAAGATTTCCCACATTCATTGCAGTCAAAAGGCCTTTCTCCTGTGTGAACTCTCTGATGACAACGGAGGGCAGAACTGGAGGTAAAAGATTTCTCACATTCACTGCACTCATAAGGCCTTTCTCCAATGTGAACTTTCTGATGATAACGAAGGGCAGAGCCAGAAGTAAAACATTTTCCACATTCACGACATTCATAAGGCCTCTCCCCTGTGTGGACTCTCTGATGTATATTGAGGTGATTTCTTTGGGTAAATGATTTCCCACATTCACTGCACTCATAAGGCCTTTCTCCTGTGTGAACTCTACGGTGTCGAATGAGTATCGGTCCATTGGTAAAAGATTTCCCACATTCGGTGCATTCATAGGGTTTTTCTCCAGAGTGAACTCTCTGATGATAACACAGGGCAGAGCCAGAGGTAAAAGATTTCCCACATTCGCTGCATTCAAAAGGCCTTTCTCCAGTGTGAACTCTCTGGTGTTGGGAGAGGTAAGATTTGTGGCTAAAGGATTTCCCACATTCACTGCACTCATAAGGTCTTTCTCCTGTGTGAACTCTTCGGTGTATAATGAGGTGATTTATTTGAGTGAAAGATTTTCCACAATCACTACACTCATATGGCCTTTCTCCTGTATGAACTCTCTGATGATAACGGAGGCCAGAGCTAGAGGTAAAGGATTTCCCACATTCACTACATTTATAGGGCTTTTCTCCAGTATGAACTCTCTCATGATAACGGAGAGCGGAGCTAGAAGTAAAAGATTTCCCACATTCACTGCACTCATAAGGCCTTTCTCCTGTATGAACTCTCCCATGTTCAATGAGGTCAGATTTTCGTTTAAAGAATTTCCCACATTCAGTACACTCAAAACTCATTTCTCCAGTATAAACTGTCTGTTGTTGAATATGAACAGAGCTATGCCTGAAAGATGGCGCACACTCACAACACACATAACAACTTTCTCCAGTGTGACTTCTCTGAGGATAAATAAGGACAAATTTTTGGTTAAAGGATTTCCCACATTTGCCACACTTGTGCTGCCTTGCCCCAGAATGAATTCGTCGGTGTTGATTGAAGGTTAAGCTTCCCCTAAATGATTTTCCACAGTCATCACAGACACGGATTCTGTCATCAGTATGGACTCTCTGGTGAATAACAAATGAAGATTTGTACCTGAATGTTTTCCCACACTCATGGCACGTAAAACAGTGCCTTTTAGTGTGCACACCTGGATCCTGAGCAAGTGTGTTTTTGGGATTAAAGGCTTTCTTGCGTTCTTCCCAAGTACAATTACTTTTCATGCGTTGAAAAGACACCTTATTTTTGGAGATTTTGTTTGGCTTCTCCCTGGTGTGAGTTGCCTGTTGCTGGAGATGTCCTGAGGTGGTCAAGCAGTCTTTCCCAACTTCCTCACAGGTAACAGGCTTCTGTGACATAGGAAAATTGCAGCTCTTTGCAAATGAGGCTCTGTTCACATCACTTAAAAAGAGTTTCTCTCCCGTGTGATGCTCCTGGTACTGCTGACAGTTTGCACTGAAATCAAATTGTTTTGCACATGCCCCACATCTCAACAGTTTCAGGCTGTGTAGTGTTTCCTGGTTCTCAGTCAAGTGGAAGATGTCTCTCAAAACTGAACCACACATCTCACAGGGATGGGTCTTCTGGGAAGATGGAGGTTCATTTGGAGTCCTGGTCTGTGACCCTCCCACAGAAACACTCTGTTCAAATGGTGCCTCCACATCCTTTGCTCCACAACAGCAACCTGAGTGCAAAGAAATGATGGTGAAGTACACATTGACTTCATTGACCACAAATGTGCAAATGAAAACCAAAAAAGAACAGGTGTACCTATGCTTATGTCAGACAAAATAAGACTTTAAGTCAAAAACTGTCACAAGAGACAAAGAATCTCCTAATATAATGATAAAGTAACCAAGTAATCAAAAAGGTATGTGTTATAAGTACATATGTGCCCACAATCAGAGCACCTAAATATACTAAGGAAGTATATCTAATCTAAAAACAGAAATAGACAGCAATACAACAAACGTAGGGAACTTTAATACTCTGCTTTCTACAACAGAGAGATCACCCAAAGAAAAATATCAGTAAAAGAACATCGAACTTGAACTTCACTTAAGAGCAAATGAGCTCTTCCCAAAAGCAATGAGAGGTGACCTCTGAAAATGGTTTACTTACTTAATCCAGAAAACCCCACAAAATCATCCAAATCAAGAGGTTCAAATGTTCGTGTTCACTTTAAGAACATTCATGAAATTGCCGGACCAGCAAGGGTATGCATATTCAAAAAGCCACCAAGTATCTGAAGGATGTCACTTTGCACAAGCAATGTGCACCCTTCCATCATTACAATAGTGGAGTTCGAAGTTGTGCCCAGACCAAACAGTGGTGCTGGACACATGGTTAGTGGCCCAAGAGTGCTGAATTTTCGCTGCATGTGCTTAAAAATGTGGGAAATAATGCTGAACTTAAGGGTTTAGATGTAGATTCTCTGGTCATCAAGCACAATCAGGTGAACAAAGGTCCTAAGGTGCGGTGTAGAATTTAGAGTTCATGGGGAGATTAACCCATACACGAGCTCTCCCTGCCACACTGAGATGATCCTCACTGAAAAAGAGCAAACTGTTCCTAAACCAGAAGAGGAAGTTTCACGAAAGAAAAAGATATACCAGAAATAAACTGAAGATACAAAAGTTTATTGTCCGGGAGTACATTCAGCGTAAAATAAATACTGCCCTGGCTGGTGTGGCTCAGTAGACTGAGTGCTGGCATGTGAACCAAAGGGTCGCTGGTTTGATTCTCAGTCAGGGCACATGCCAGGGTTGTGGGCCAGGTACCCAGGAGGAGGCATGTGAGAGGCAACTATACCTTGATGTTTCCTTCCTTCCTTGTCTTCTCCTCTCTCTAAAAATAAATAAAGAAACTTAAAAATTTTTTTTAAATCTTAAAATATAAAATAAACACTAATAAAAGTTAAAAAAGAGCGCGCGCACAAACAAACCAAACCCTGATTTAAGACTGAAATCATATCAAGTATCTTTTCCAATGACAATGGCATGAAAGTAAAAATCATTAAAAGGATGATAGGAAAATCAAAAATATGTAAAATTTAAGCAACACATCCTTGAATAATCAATGAGTCAAAGACATCAATGTATTCAGACAAATGAAAATGGAAACATACCACACAGAATGCAGCAGTAAGAAGGAAGTTTATAGAGATAAGTGTCTACCTTAAGATTAAAAAAGTCTCAACTCCCCTTTATACTTTAAGGTATAAGGGGGGAAAAAAACAAACTAAAGTCAAAGTTAGCAGAAGAAAGTAAATTACAAAGATCAAAGCAGAAATAAATGAAAGAGAGACAAGAAAAAAATAGAAAAGATCAGTGAAACTAAGAGATGGTATTTTAAAAAGATTATCAAATTGACAAACCTTTAAATAACCTAGGAGAAAAGACTCAAATAAAATCAGAAATGAAAGAAGACATCACAACTGATAGTACAGGAATATAATCAATCAGAAGAGACTACTAAAAACAGTTATATGTTAGCAAATTGGATAACCTGAAAGAAATTAAGAATTTCCTGGAAACACATAAACCATCAAAACTGAAACAGGTAGAAATAGGAAACCTAAATAGATCTGTAACTGGTAAGATAATTGTATCAGCAATCAAAAATCTCCTAACAAACAAAAACCCAGGACCAAGTAGAATCATTGGCAATTCAATTAAATATTTAAAGAGTTAATATCAATCCTTCTGCAACTCTTCCAAAAAGTTGAAGAGGTGACACTTCCAAACTCATTTTATGAGATGCATTACCCTGATATCAAAGTCATTTAAGGAAAATATAAGGCCAATATCCTTGACCAATACAGATGAAAAATCGTCAACAAAATACCTGCAAACCATATCCAACAGCACATTAAAAGGGTCACATACCACAACAAGTAGAATTTATCCCATGGATGTAGTTCAACATGTGCGAATTAATATGAATCACCATAGTAACAGAATGAAGGATCGAAAAAGCATAATCATATAAATACATACAGGGAAAACAGTTGACAAAACTCAATATCCTTTCATGATGAACAACTCTCAACAAATTAGGTGTAGAAGCTAACCTAAAGCTAACATCATACTCAACAATCAAAGGCTAAAAGTTTTTCCTTTAACATCAGGAAATAGAAAAGGATGCCTATTCTCTCTACTTTTATACAACATAGTACTGAAAGTCCTAGCCAGAATAAAGAAAACAAGAAATAAAGAGCACCCAAATAAGAAACAAAACTGTTTGCAGTTGAAATCATCTTATGTATAGAAAACCTAAAGACACTATGAAAACACCGTTAGAACTAATGGATGAATTTGGTAAAGTTGCAGGATTAAAAAAAAAAAAAAAAAAAAAAAAAAAGGCATTAAAACTCAGTTGCCCTGGCCGGGTAGCTCAGTTGGTTAAGAGTGTTGTCCCAACACTCCAAAGATGCAGGTTCAATCTCCGGGCACATAAAAGAAACCAACAAATCCAAAAACTGGAACAATAAAATTGATGATTCTCTCTCTCCCTCCCCACCCTCTCCTCTCTTCCTCTCTTAAAATAAAATAAAATAATTAAAATTAAAACTCACCCTGCCTGGTGTGGCTCAGTGGATTGAGTGCCTACCTGCAAACCAAAAGGTCACCAGTTCTATTCCTGGTCAGGGCACATGCCTGGGTTGTAGGACAGGTCCTCAGTTGGAGGCATATGACAGACAACCAGTTGACGCTTCTCTCGCACATTGATATTTCTCTCCTTTCCTTCCTCTCTCCCTCCCTCCCTCTCTAAAAATAAATAAATAAAATCTAAAAGAAGAAAAAACTCAGTTGTTTATATACACTAATAATAAACTATCTGAAAAGAAAATTAAGAAAACAGTCCCATTTAAAATGGCATCAAAAACAATACTCAGGAATAAAATTAACCTAGGTGAAAGATCTGTATTCTCAAAATTATAAGATACTGATGAAAGAAATTGACACAAATAAACAGAAGAATATCCAGTGTTCTTGGATTGAAAGAATAGTTATAATGTCCATTATACCCAGAGTGATACACAGATTCTTCAGAATTCATATTAAAATTTCAATGAAATTTTATACAGATATAGAAAAAACAACCCAGTTGACTTGGGGTGGTGAACACAACACAGGGTACAGATGTTGTATTGTAGAATTGCACACCTTAAACCTGTATAATTTTGTTAACCAGTGTAAGCCAATTAATTCAATAAAAAGGATGAAAAAGTCCTAAAATCCTTATGGAACCACCAAAAAAAAAAATCCAAATAGCCAAAACAATCTTTAAGAAAAAAAATCTGTAAGCACCACACTTCCTATTTCAAAATAGTACAAATCTATAAGTAATCAAAATACTACAATACTGGCATAAAAATGGACAAGTGGAACAGAATAGAAAGCCTAGAAATAAACCCACACATATATGGTCAAATAATCTTTGATCAGGGACTCAAGAACACAAAATGGGGAAAGGGTAGTCTCTTCAAAATCATAAGCCCTGGCCAGGTGGCTCAGCTGATTGAAGCATAGTCCCGTACACCAAAAGGTTATGGGTTCAGCCCTGACTGGTATGGTTCAATTGGCTAGGCATCATCCAGCAAAGCGAAGGGTTGCCAATATGCCTGGGCCGGGGGTTTGGTCCTTCTCGGGGCACATACTGGAGGCAGTCAATAGATGTTTCTCTCTCACCTTGATGTTTCTCTTCCTTTCTTCCCCTATTCCCCTTTCTCTAAGTAAATAAAATCTTTAAATTAAAAAAAAAAAAAAGGTTGTAGGTTCGACTCTGGGTCAGGGTACATTCGTAGACTGTGGGTTTCGTACCCAGTCAGTGTGTACAAGAGGCAACCAACTGATGTTTCTCTCTCATATCATTGCTTCTGTTTCTCTTTCTCTTTCTGTCTCTTTCTCCACCCCCTCTTCCTCTCTCTCTAAAAGTATTAAACATACCAAGTGAGGATCAAAAAATAAAAATAAAAAATAAATGGTGATGAGCCCTAGCCAGGTAGCTCAGTTCATTAGAGCATTGCCCTGATACACCAAGGCTGCGGGACTGATCCCAGGTCAAGGCACAATCAACAAAATAAAAAGGCAACCTCAGAAACAGGATAAAATATTTGTAAAAGATATTTAAAGGTGGACCCAAAAAACCTTTTAATTTACTCATAAAAAACTGTGTATTCCTACATGTTTAAACTTCAGTCACCTTCAAGTGCTCTCCATTTGATGCAAAACACCTATCGAGACTTGTTTCCACTGATAAAGACAGTTTTTGAACTCATCGATTTTGATGTCTTTTAGTGCTTCTGCCATTTTTTGTTTCACCTCTTCCATACGGGCAAAACCTTGCCCTTTGAGGACTTTTTTCATCAGGGAAACAAAAGAGTGCACCCTAAGGCACAGAGGATGTGGGGGAAATGCAAACCCTAGTCATAGTCACCAGGAGAGAGTGAGGGTCTTACCCTGTGAGGATATAAGAGCAAAGTTCTCCAGCATCACATCGAGGTACAGGCGTCTCTGAGCCTCATCAAGGAGGCGCCATTCTGTCCTGGAGAAATACACGGCGACATCCTCAAAGGTCACACAAACCTGTCAGGATTAATACGAATGAAATCATGAACAGTCTCTCTCTGAGAACCTATTACCCAACTCTTCCCACACTTTCCCATTGCTCATCCTCCTCCAGGGCTCCACCTCAGGGGCGATACGAGGCCCTGGTGCCAGTGATGCTCTCTGCTTGCAGTCTCACTAATCACTGTCCTGGCCCTCAGCAACAACAGCCAGCAGGACAGTAAATGCCACCTGCCCTCTGAACCTGGCCTGCAGCCCTCCTGACAAGCTATTTACCTGGGGTTTCCCACATGGCGCCTCCACGACACAGCCAAACATGGGGCACTCAGCTCACACTTCCTCTTAATGTACACATCATACAGTAGGCCAAACTGCTCTCACATCTTCAGACCATAGGTTCACTCCCTCAGCTCTGCCACCTTCCTGCCCCACACCATAGGCATCTCTCTGGACTCACCCATGTACATGACCCGTGGCATCAGGGCATGTATGACATATTCGAACAGGATCCAGCACAACCCAGTCCTCTAACAGATTCCAGAGCCAGGAAAAGCCCCAAATGGGGCTCTGCCGTCCCTTCTGCCTGTCTCTGACCTTTACTTCAATTATTAGTCACCCAGAACCACATGCAAATTTCAGATAATAATAACCACCTTCCACTTCTGCACTGCACTTGATGTCACTGCAGCAGCCACAAGCCAACTCTGTCCACCCAACCTTCCCTCAAAGCCCAGTCCCACCGGTCTCTCTTACAGGCACAGTGACACAATGACCACATTCTTGCCCCAGACCTTATCCACCAGCAAGATGGAAACTCCTCAGATCCCATCAAAATTCGCCACAACACTGTGGTGAATCCTGCTTTAGTGGGTAAGCAGGGGCCCTGTCCTCTAGTGTCATCTCTCAATTACTCCTCTGCCTCCCCAGCCATCTCATGCCCACTCATCCCATGGAGGTCTTGGTTCCCCTGCCCAGTCAACCTTCTGCCACACCCGCCCCCCAATCACGTCTCTCCTGCACCATGCACCTTCTTTCTGACCCACTCCTTAGCATGATCGCCATGAATACCATCCCCCTCCTACTGATGAGCCACAGCCCCACCGTGGTCCGTGTCACTTTTGCATGTCTCCATTCTGGACCCCTCCCCAGGCTTCTCAGCTTGTGCGTCCAGCTGCCCACTTCATGTCTCCCCTCACTGTTCTCTGAAAGTCCTCAGACTCGTCACAGGGCTTAAACAAAACTTCTCATATTTACAAGGAAAAACTAACCTATCACCATCTTCCCCAGCAGAGCTGATGGAGCTCCCATCACTTCCGGGGGTTGTCCCCAGTTCCTTTTCTCCCCTCACCTTCTTTAAAAAGGGACCCGGAACCCAATCTCTTCTTCCACCTCCACAGGGATCACTCCCGTACGTCAGCTTTCATCTGGGTTAGAGCTGTTGCCTCCACCTGGGCTCCCTGCCTCCCTCCCTTCCGTCTATAATCTGCTCTCCATGTTCAGCCAGGCAGAGCCCGTTATATCCAGGGGAAGCGAACTCCGTCCTCTTGTCCAAACTTCTCTTTATGTCCATAACAGATGCCCAACTTCTTAGGGGGCCCCACACAGGCGAGATTACAGCCCCCCTGCTCTTTGTTCTTAACAAAAAGAACCGAGTCCCGTTGTACCTACTCCGGTCTTAGTGGCATCTCCAAGCATTTGAACATGTGGGTGTCTGGCCCTGAGTTACTTTTCCACACCTGTTTACACTGGTTTTAAAGCAATGGAAGCACCTTCATAATACCTGTACCCTACACTCAGGGCAGGGATTGGGGGTATCCCGAGGTTCCCCCCATCCAAGAGCTGGGAAAATACCCAGGGAAGAGTCTGGAGACACGACAATGCCAGGCAGGCCTGGGGGTATCTCTCAAGGTCTCAGACCCAACAGGTGCGAAAGAAGGCGACCATTTCAGAGCATCAAAATCCCAGACACCGTCTGGGCGGTGTTAGGACCAGAGAGGCACCCGGTCACCCTGTCCTGCCTTGTCTAGTTTACGTTACCGGTTTTCCAGTCTTCACACCGGTGGGAAGACGCGGTCAACCACCGCTCAGCGCCAGGCGAGCAGGTCTCAGCGGCACCGAGGCCCAGCCCGCGAGCCTGGTGACCTCCCGCCAAGTGCCCGGCTCCGGGACCAGCTCTGTGACCTTGGATAAAGGCTCAGCTCTCCGTGTCTCATCACCCCCATTCTAGTCGTGCTCTCTTTCTGGGCAGTTTACGGAAGACATTCACAGTTCTAACACAGCGTCCGTGTCCCTCTTCTATCCTCAACCTTCCGCGACCCCCAGGACCCTCAGAATGGAGGCACAACCCCTGCCAGTCCCGGCGCCACTCCTCCTGACTCTCTGCTCCCCAAGGGCGTCCAGGAGGACCCCAGGGTCCCGGATCCCCCCGGCTCAGCCGCCCCTGCACGCCTTTCCTCGGCGGCCCCTCAGCCCGTCACCCTCTCCCACCCTCGCCACCCCGTGTGTCACCCGCGAGCGCCTCGCGGTCCGGGACGCCGGGGCCGCAGGACGTGACAGGCGCCCCGCACCCGGCGGCGGGGCGCGGGGGGCTGACGGGGCGCGGCGGGGGGGTGCGGAGGGCGGCGGGGGACGCGCACTCACTTCAGCCGGGCGCCTCACCGCTGCCGCCGCCATCGGACTCTGTGGGCGGGGCGGGAGCAGCAGGCGAGGAGGGGATCCCGGACACCACGGCCCTTGTCCCGGCCCTGGAAGGGATCACCTGGGCGGCGTTGCCGAGCCTCCCACCCGCGTCTGTGCGGCCCCGGACCACGACTCTCGCGCCTTCTCGGTTCCAGCAGGTCGTCCAGGACCCAGCACGCCCAAGCCTCTGACGGGATGAAAAGACCCTTGAGGAGCCAAAATGACCGCCACCCTGAAGAGACCGGAAGTCCCGCCTTGGCGGGATGCGCACGCAGGAGAACGCCTCATTCTGACCCGCCAGTGGCTCATCACTTTGGTCTCCGCGCAAGGTCTTCTGGGCAATGTAGTTCCCAGACCTCCAGGCGCCTCAAGGAAGGGGGTTCACACACGGGCCAGACCGTGAGGATTGCTGAGAAGCGGTGAGAGGAAGAGAGCAGGTGGGGAGAGAACCTGAATAAGGTGCATATAGGTTTTTTTTTTGCAACATGTATTACAAAAACTTACAAATTTTCTTTTCGTTTAGAAAATTTGGGGTAGATTTATGTGCGTACACATACAATAAAGGCTATTCCCTCATTCTCATATTCCATTCCCCATTCTCTATAATACAGTTACTATCAATTATTGTGTATCCTTCAAGAAATATTTATTTGTTAGTATACGTTTATGGTCACTAACCTCTCCTTTTTCAAGTCTGGTGTTCCCTTACCTCTAATCCCAAGCACTCACTGTTCTTTAATAACTTACTATTAGTGGAAACAAATGAAATAATATTATGGACTTTAAGTGACATTATGATAAATTCTAGTTTGACTTCTGTGGGAGCGTATGTTCTAAAAAACTGCTGTGGTTGCCCTGGCCGGTGTGGCTCACTTGGGTGGAACATCATCCTGTAAATGAAAAAGTTGCAGATTTGATTCCCTTCCCTGCAAATCAGGGCACACACCTAGACTGCAGGTATGATCCCCGGTTGGGATGCATACGGAGGCAACCAATGCATGTTTCTCTTTTTCCTCTCCCTCTCCTTCTCTCCCTAAAAGCAATGAAAAAATGTCCTTGGGTGAAAATAAGAATTCATAACTTTGCTTAGACTAACTTGTAAACCCAGTAAGATCACCCTCGATTTTATAAGATTTGTGTAACCATATACTATCATTTGCTAAGAGTTTAACCCAAAGGCTTGAGACTTGGTTAACTTCCTTCCATACCTATGCCGTCCCTGACACTGATGGTTGTCAGAGCTGTCTTTCAGGCAGTCTAGCATGTTTTGTAGGACTGGGGGCGGGGGTGTGATGCTGCGGAATCCCCATAAGACTGGCCAGTGTTGTTTGGAAGACCCTCTGGTAATCTCCTCATGAGTCTTTTTCATTATACCTCCATTATAATACTAAAGTATCCTTCCAAGGGTAGAGATGTTCCACTCTTTTGAACATTTCAACGTATGTATACGCATGTTGTCTAACTACCTGTGTGCAGGAATGTCCTCACCTATATGTGTGATGACAAAGTTCAACTAGATGTTTATGCATGACTTCCCTGAATAAAGACTAATCTTGCGCTGGCTGGTGTGGCTCAGTGGACTGAGTGCTGGCCTGGGAACCAAAGGGTCGCAGGTTCGATTTCTGGTCCAGGGCACAGGCCTGGGTTGCAGGCCTGGTCCCCAGTAGGGGGTGTGTGATAGGCAACCACACATTGACGCTTCTCTCCCTTTCTTTCTCCCTCCCTTCCCTTCTCTCTAAAAATAACTAAATAAAATATTTTTTTAAAAAAAGTACAAGTGGGTAGCTACAAAATAGTCACAGGGTATAAAATACAGCATAGGGAATACAGTCTACAATATTATACTAACTACATATGGTACCAGAAGGTTGTGAGACTTCCAGAATGATAACTTAGTAAGTTACATAAATGTCTTATCACTGGGATGTACACCTGAAACTAATATATTGTACATCAACTGTAATTCAAAAATAAGAAATCACTTGTAGTAAAAAAAAAATTTTTTTTAAAGTAAAAAGCTTTCTCCAGTGTGAAAACTCTGATGTTTAATGAGGCCGTGGCCTTTGCTAAAAGATTTCCCACATCCATTGGACATAAAACTACTTTCTCTAGTGAGGACTTTCTGGTGCTCAACAAGTGTGTTTGCAGCTGAAGGCAGTCTTGCGTCCTCCCTGGTTATAAGCTTTTCCCCTGTGCGAGGCTGGCCCACTCTCAGACCTGTTGCTTGCCTTCCCCTTGGTGTGAATGGTCAGTTGCTGGAAAAATTCAGAGCTGGCTAAGAAGTTCTTCCCAACCACTTTGAAGATAAAGGGCTTTCCTGACACATGGCATATGCAGTTCCTCACAAGCGAGGCTCTATGCACAAGGCTTCTGAAGGTTTCTCCCCAACACACTGTTTCTGATATTGATGACGATCTGCACTGACATACAATCGTGAAATGTGTGGCTCGATCTCGAGTGTCATTTGGCATTTGGTTGAGCACCAAGTGAGGAAACACATGACAAACAGAAACCGTACAGATGTGGGTCATGTGGGAAACAATTGTGGTGAGACACACGTGGCCTCGATCTGAGGCAGACCACCAAGCAAAGAGGGACGCAGGCTGCAATCCACACTGAATCCGCCAGCACCCCATGAGTGAGCCCACATTGTTAGTCAGACAGATCCTGCCACAGCTGAGACCACAGAAACAGGAGGTGGCCACTGGCATTGGCACTTAACACCAGTTAAACAGAATAGGTTTCTGATGTCATTTGAATACAGGACTGATATCATGCCCTTCCCCCACGTGCCACTGTTCAGGACCATGTTCCCTCGGAGCCCCTTTCACTGAGCCCAAGCTCATATCCATCCTATAAAAAACCAAGGACTCTCCCCAACACGCCCAAGATGTGTAAGTATTTGGGACATGGATGATGCCAATAACAAAGGAAAGACAACACAGGAGCAGATAGTGCTGACCCATGACAACTCGGCACGTCACAGCACAGAGGAAGGAAACCAAGTACTATGAAGAGAACTCTGGAGGGTGGTCTTGACACCACTTCCTGGCACTGGCAGTCAAAAGGAAATGTCAGCTGGAGGAAGGAATGAGAACCTGGGGTGCACAGATGACGTGGATCAGGACAGTGTCAACAAGGCAGGAAGGGAGCAACAAGGTAGGACACTTCAGATCGAATGCAAGACCCCTGACCCTGGACCCCTCCACAGAAGTCTGCAGGGAAGCAGGTGCCGGGGCCGCTCAGGGAAGGAGAGTGTGGTGCACACACCTGAGCCCAACTAACCACAGCACCTCCCCAGGGAGCTAGGGAAGAAAGCAGAGCCCTTGGTCCTGCTGTGCGGACAGACCTGCTCCTGAAGAAGAAGGGAAGGGCAGAGACAAGCTCGGGTCAAGGGAAAAGGTCCGAGAATCATATCCAGCGGTTATGAGTGCCAAGTTCTCCAGCATCACATCGAGGCATCGCCAAGTCTTCCCGGGGGGCCTCCCCTATTCCTTCAGGGAGACGTTCACGGCCACACTGTCAAAGGGCTCCCTGCCCTGCTGGGATGGTGACAGGTGAAACCACAAACAGTCCACCTCTGAGGAGCCAAATCCACTTCTTTACACATACACCCTACAACCATCCAACTCCCACGCCTCCCAACCCAGAAGAGATATCACTTCCTGGAATCACTGGTTCCACTGTCTCCTCGTGGTGACACTGACCTCTGGGTCCAACCAGCAGCAAGAGGCAGATGGACGCGTATCTAAGCTGCGGTCCTGGCATACAGCATGCACCTCCTCCTCACGTGCAATTCTCCCCGTGTGGCCTTCGTCCTGTCATTGCCAAAGCCAAGCCCAGGGCCGTCAGACACAGCACCCTCCAGACCACACTTCTCTCAGCCTCCGTATCCCACAGCCATTGTCCTGCGGCCACCACGGCCGCACTGCCCCACACTCCACATCACTTGTATTTAATCACTTCTCCCTGACCCCGCCTTTTGGTTACGGTGGTGGCCAAATGCAGGACACTTGAGACGGGACATATGAGATTCACAGCTGCTTATTTATCACGTAAATTCACTCCTGAAAATACGTCACCAGCTCACCACGAAGGCCCCCATGGGGCCGGCCTCCAGATCAGAGGGAACAAACCGGGGCTGTGGGACTCGGCCTCTGTAGGATGGAGAGGTTGGGAGGCTCCCCGGTTCCCACAGGAGAATGGGACTGGCTTACGCAAGTGACGTGGTGAGCTGGTAAGCAAATGAGCAGGAAATCTGCCTGGTTCCCTTTGCTACGAGGGTTACTAAGCGGAAGGCGTTATCCACGGGAGCAGTGTGGCGAGGGCAGCGTGCCATCTGAGGGCACCCTGACTCCACCAGATGTGAGGATGCGCGTCTCACAGGCCTTGCGCCACAACGTAGCAGGTAGCATCCACAGCACAACCTGCCAATTCAAACAGGATCCGGTAGGACCACAGGCTCCCAGTAACAGTGTCACCCCGCATCATTTCCTGAAAGCCTCACTCGCAGGCTCTGAGCCTTGCCTCAGACTTCGATGCAGAACCACGTGTGGATTTCAGACACCCGAGGTCCCATGCTACTTCTGCAATGCATTCACTTTCACCTCAGCAAACACCCTCTTTCTCTGTCCTCCTAACCTTCAGCCAAAGCCCAGCCCCATGCATCGCCCACCCCCAGGTCTAGAGATACCCCGCCCTATGCCCTACATATCCACCCTGGTCTACCCCAATTTATCTGTACTTCTTCTCATTCATCCTTCCATTCTTCCCCCTTCCTCCACTTTTATGAAAGCACAAGACCATCACCTGGATACCCCAGCAAGAGACTCAGTCCTCTCCGCCCTCCAAACCTCACCACCTAATAGCTTTGCCATCTTTTTTTTTTTTTTTTTTTTTAAGATTTTCTTTAGATATTTTTAGAGAGGGGAAGAGAAGGAGAGAAACATCAATGTGGGGTTGCCTCTCACACGCCCCCTATGGGGGACCTGGCCCACAACCCAGGCATGTGCCCTGGCTGGGAATTGAACCGGTGACCTTTTGGTCTGCAGGCCGGCACTCAATCCACGGAGCCACACCAGCCAGGGCTAGCTTTGCCATTTTAACCGAAAGTTTGCCTCTCCTAAAGGTAACCCTCAGCTCACTCATCATGGTCCACCCTACAGTTACCACATTTTGGAGGTCTCTAGCCTGAATTCTTCCCCAGGAAGCTGTGTGCGGGGGCTGGGCCTTCCAGGT